AACTTTACGTTACAGTTTTATACGTAATGGTGTTCTAAAAATGTTTGTTTTCTAAAATTTAATAACTCGGTAAATATTGATGTTTAAAGAATGTAAATGTATTAACAATTCAAAAAGTTATCCTCTTTATGTGTGTTCATTTATTGTCAGGGTCAGAGGGTACAGGGTGGCCTTACTAAAGGTGCCCAAATTTACACAGGACTGTATTATAATGGTCTATTAAGTTAAGTTCTGTTTTTTAGGGAATGGTAATTTTTTTGAAAAAAAAAGTCTGTTTTTCAATAATGAATATTTGTTGAAACTAAATAAATATTCATTCTTGAAACACAGACTTTTTTTTTTTCAAAAAAATTACCATTCTCTAAAAAACAGAACTTGTTGACTATGCGGTATTCATCCATAAATGCGTCGTATACTTTTGAAACGAAATTGTGTGCGTGTTAGTTAAGAATGATCGCGCGTAAAATAAATTAGTTGCTCATAAATCACTTTTTGAGATAAGTTCAAATAAATGTATTTAATTAATTACGAGCGATTTTAAATATTTATCCGTTTTTATAAACGATATTTATGTCTAGATTTTAATAAAAAAAAATGGATACACTTAAAAAGCCTTCCTGTATACAGTATAAACTGTAATAAAATAATTAGGTTATAACACAAATGATAGACATTAATTCATAATGCAGAATTCAAATAAAAGATGTCATAATTAGTTAATTTCTTTATTTGTAATGGTAGTTTTTATAATTCTCTATTACGATAAATGTAAATAACTTTAAATTTGGCGTAATTCTATTAAAAAATTCTATAAAATAAATTTTAAACGATAGAGAAAAATCACTAATGAATTTATCAAGAAGCAGAATTCGGCGGTCGCTTATAGTTTTCGAAAAAATAAATAATGAAATAGTGTGATTTTTACTATAGAAATCCGCCATTTTTTTGTTCTCAATATGTCAATTCTGCTCGTATTTCTTGGTGGTCATAAAAAAAACTATCCGAGGCGGATTCGCTCTGTGTCGGTTCTGTGACTCATTAAATTAAAAAAAAATGGACTATATGATGTCGCCCGCTTTATCATGTTGGCAGAACTGTGTATTGAGTTTTTGAAGTCAAATTAATAAAATGGTGGATTTCTTAGTAAAAATAACAAGTTTTAAATATTTTTTTCTCGAAAACTATAAGCGACCGCCGAATTCTGCTTTAAAATTTATTTTAATTGAATTACGCCAAAGTTAAAGTTATCTACATTTGCCCATTTTTTTTTTGAAGCACAACTTATTCAAATTTATAATAGTGCTTTACGGGTACTCGACTTGCAAATAATCTAAAGTTATCAATAACAGCATGCATTAAAGCTGTCACAACTTCATTAGACAAATGATCCAATATAGATGGCCTTGCTTGAAGCACTTGATCAATGATATTCGAATCCTCATTATCTGAAAAAAAAAAAAAACGATTGTCTAAAATGTTAAATCTTAATAGCATGTCGCATTTATAATATTGTGTTCACGATAACACATGTTTCGTTGAAGGACAAACGGTGCAACAATTAAACTTATGCACTATAAATTCTAATATAACAGTCTCCAATTTCACATATCGTACTTTGAAATTGGGCATCTCTCAGCCTAACGTTAACTGTAAGATTAATGCGAATAAGGAAACCGCTGTTCAGTTGAAATCCAGCGATCAGCAGAGAATGTATTACGTAAGCAACACACATGTAGGTTATACTCTCTTTCCCATAGCATGATTTATTGGATAATGATAAAGCATATTATTTAATGTAAGTTGTAATAACAAAGCAGAATCTGCGGTAAACGTTATACTAGTGTTTGTAACGTCATACCTGCCGCTTTTAATACCAGGTTTTAAAGCTAAATTTCAGATATATAAAAGTACTCTTTGGCTAAATCTGACGAGGTGGACAGCTCACGCGTAATTTCATACACATTCTTATAAATGTTTCAGACTGTAACTATTTCGATTATATGCAATAGTATGTTTCAACTGTAAAATGTTTTTGAATTAAATGATCAAAAAATAGTGAAATACCTATTTATTTTAACTTTAGACATTTTTATAATAATATACTATAATAATTTTTTACAACATATACTTAAGTAAGTATTTATACTTTGTGATATCTATGGACTGTGCTATCGGAGCTAACTATTAGGGCAGTAACTTACTTGACGTTTCACCATAGTTGCTATTAACGACATTTTTTTTTATAATATAAAATCCATAAACGTCAAGGCAGTGACGTACTTCAAAACGTCTGTTAGTGGAACTCATCCACAGCCATATAAAAACCATATTATGTTCACGTCTCTTATGATTATGACGATATGTTACTGTGGTAGGGCCCCGCAACAATCTTCACTCTGTTGCACGAATGGGCCGGTCCGTACAAGGAAGTACCACGATGTCACAGAAGACCGGTGTGAAGTAGAATTGTTACACTTCTGCGTTTCATCTGGTCAGTGGGGTAACCGAGGCCCACTTTATTAAAAGTTGACAACGTATTTGCAACCCTACGGGTGTTGCAAATGTCCTTGGGCGGCAGTTATCAAAAAACGGCCAAGTGAGAGTCGGACTCGCTCACGAAGGGTTCCGTACCATCTAAAAAATGGCGAAAAATCATGTTTGTTGAATGGCAGGCCCATTAAATATTTTTTTTATTTTATTCTTTTTTTTTGTATTTGTTGTTACAGCGGCAACTGAAATACAACATCTGTGAAAATTTCAACTCTCTATCACGGTTCATGAGATACAGTCTTAGTAATAGGGTCCCTACGTTTTACCCTATGGGTACGGTATGGGAACGGCTGGATCAATAACATCAACAATAAAAAAGTAACTCCTGAAGATCTAGTTGTCCGATGATTGAAGAGGGAGAGAGGAAATAAATTATGGCTTGTGCACAGTATACATATCTTGTGCGAATAGTTACGTAAAAGTGAAGTAACAGCCTATATTCGAGAAATATGTTCGACTACTAGTCAAAGGCCTCCTCTGTACAGAGGGGGCGGATTGGCGGACATATATTCGAAATATTAACATTATTTTGTTATTATTTCGAAAATATGCAGGTTTCTTCACGATGACATTCTTCATCGCTGAGCACGTGATAAGTCAGCACTTAATTAACAATTTCATTGGTGCTGAAGTCTGAGTCGAGCATTGGGAAACTGGGATATCCCGGCTTATCTCTTGTGCGAATAACATGATTTAATTCCTGAAAAGTAGTCATGCAAATTTTTGATTCTATACATTTTTATGTCGTGGCAACATTTCAAAAATCCAATTCTACAGTAGTAAGGATGAAGTGGGAAATAACTAGTATGAATATGACATTAAGTTAGTGGGTGGTTTAAAATTTAAAAATAACGTTTTAAATTTAAAAAGAAAGTTTAATGCATTGTTAACAAAGAAGAAAACGAACAAAAATACATTTTATTATATTAAAGTAATTAGTAATTCGAATTATTCTTATTCGCGCCAACGTAATTTTCCCGAACACGGTTAATCTTTTTGCAAAATTAATGTAAGGCAACTGAGCACCTGAAATCTGCCGAGGGTGATTAGGCAAAAGTGTAATAAGCCGTTTCTCACTATCGGTGACAGATTCGAAATGATAAATGGGGATTGCCGTGGCTTTCGTCCGTCGGCGACGGAGGCGGGGAAAAAAACTTTTCCAGGATTGATTATTAGCTCGAACGGATCCAGCTATTGTGACTAAGCGTAATTGTAAGTGTCGAGAAAATAATTGAGTTCCGTTGTAACAATAGTCAGGTGTTGACTATTAAAAAACTTTAATAGTCTCGGGACTGAAAGCGTTAACATCAGTTAATACAAGACATGAGACTATGAGTCGGGGAAAAAATATATAAAATAAAAAACTAAAAACTGTACAAGGATTTACACTCGGAGACATGACATTAATTTAAAAGATAAAATAAAAACACAAACGAATCAGTAAAGAAAAATTAATTAAAGAGGAAACACTAGAATGTTAATATAATTATGAAATAAGACGAAAAAAGAAAATTTTATGATATAAATATTTAACACAACATGGAACAAGGAAATGGCTGCGTTACACATAGTTTATTTTTTGGTCTTAAAGAATATAAATTTTGTATTTGTTTCTAAACTTGTCTGTCTAGATTTTAGGCACCTCAAAGGAGGTGGGATGTTATTCCAACATTTAGCAGCACTGTAACAAAAGCTACCTCAGAGTGCTGTCGAGTAGTGTATAGAACAAAGTATCCTTTCACAGACAGCTCTATTATGGCGTGTTGAAAATTGAAGTTTTTCAAATAACTGTAAGGGCTTTCGCGATTAAATAATCCCGAAAAGTGATGTAGAAAAGTGATGTTGACGTTGTGAAGTTTTACTCTATCAAAAATTTTAATCTGCGGATAAAACAAACAGTTCTTACAATTCAACACATTTCCTGTTTCGACAGAATGACTAGGTAAATAAAAAATTCTGTCCTCTAACAATAATCCAAAAATATGTATCTACTAAGGTATGTAGGTACTAAAAATTATGAAATATTACCTACGGTATAGGAAGTAAAAATGTTTGTATATAACTAATTAAAAACACAAAACCAAGAATTTCCCATTAAAAACTGAAGGGAATTTAAACTTAGAAAACTCTTTTATTAGTTAAGACTGGTACGTAGACTGATACGTTCTACTATTATAACTTTTTGTGAGTAACAAATTTTGTCTGGTTTCTCGAGTCATCTAAACACATTTCCCGTGGAAAAAGGCATCTATTTCGAAACAATTACGATAAACGTTATCTACCACCCTTGGAAAGTATAATCCAAATATCCTTCATATTGAGTTATATGAAAGAATCTCCCTTAAGCCGTGATAGCTCAGCGTCCGGGCGCTCGCCTTTAATTCAATATACTCGAGCAACCTGAGTTCGATCCCCGGTGCTGGCACCAATGAAGTTTTTAACTTTAAGTGCTGACTTATCACGTGCTCAGCGGTGAAGGAAAACATCGTGAAGAAACATGCATATATTCGACAAAAAAAAATTCGAAGATATGTGAAGCCCGCCAATCCGCAGTAGGGCCGCGTGGTGGACTATGTGCCCTGATACCCTCTGTATAGAGGAGGCCTTTGCCCAGCAGTGGGACATGTATAGGCTGTTACTTACTTTTTTTTTAATCTCTCTTAAATAAGTCCGAGGAGAAAATGGGAAACAAGTTTCCCATTTTCTCCTCGGACGATTAAATTTAAAAGGCATTATGTTTGCATCCCCATCGTATTTTTTTTTACAGTTTCGACTAAACTTTGTTGTTTTAGTGGAATGAATTTTTATCATATATGAAACCATAAGATTTTCTTCTTCATCAGATAAATACGTAGCACGACCCATCTTCTAATTTGCATCGAGCTTCGCGAACTGCTTTTATGGCTGATTGCATAGAAGAGTCTGAATAGCGTAGATTTCGACCTTTTTCTTTTTTCTTCTTGACTGTGTTAAAAAACAACAAGCAATTTAACTTACAAATCACCAAAGCTTAGGTTTAGCGAATTTTATCTTAACATTAATGAACGACTACCTGGTCGACAATAATCAGTATACCCTTATTATCACCATCATGGTTAAAAAACAAATTTGTGTAAAACTTCCGCCATGATTATAAATTACGCCAGATGTCAATAAAAAAATATCATTACTAAAATAGACAATTTAATGGCAGGTATCTTTTGGTAAAAAAAGAAAATCAAATTTACGATTACTATAGGAAGCGAACATATAGTTCAGGAGATATGGTGCTGCTATTTCAATTGACACCAAAACCCCTGGTGTCAATGCGGTGCAAAAAAAATGGTCGATGAGTGGAATATTAACGGAATTAATTAACTTTTTACGTGATATCGGAAAAATATCGGAGCGATAAGGGAAAGATATTTGAAAAGAATAAAAGAAAGTTACTATGTCCTTCCTGGCACTAGGCTAACTATAGGAGTATAGACTCCTATAGTTAGCCTATGTTCAACAGTCAACTCAAACAGGCGGAAATGATGATGATGATGACAAGAATTAAATTTTGTTCCATTATGATCTTTTTTGGCTATATTCTATACAAATCGCTTTGATACATTTAATTTATTCCAATATCCAGCATTGACGAGAACGATTAGGCTTTTCACCGCAAGATGGTGCTCGTAGTCTTTTATAGCAACATTATAGCGAAATACTATGATTATTGAACTTTTTAGTACCTATTTGCATTTAATAAAAATTAAGTAATCAAAGTTTCAATAATAGGGTGCAGTTACGGAGTTAAAAATTCATTTATCAAAATAAACTAGGGCGAAATTACTTTAGTTAGTACCTTTTTGAAACTAATTGGGATCTGGTCGTGAAGTTCCATGAATGAATGCAATGTAAAAATATT